TATGGTTAATAATATTTATGTAAAAAAATGATAAACCGCAAATGTAATTCGTATTTAGCTTCATTTGTTTACTAACATCTTTTTGGTTCTGTTTTCTTCTGTTTTTCTGTTTTCTCCTGTTTTTCTGTTTTCTTCTTCCACTACTACTGTTCTGATGACTTGGACTGGACCCTTCTGCAGGATGTATATTGCCATTCATTCGTAAAGGCGTTTTTCTACTAACCTCCTGGCGACTGTCGCTCCCATGCTGCTAGAACCAGAATTTCAGTTATGGTTAATAATATTTTGTAAAAAAATGATACACTACAAATGTAATTCGTATTTAGCTTCATTGGTTTACTAACATCTTTTTGGTTCTGTTTTCTCCTGTTTTTCTGTTTTCTCCTGTTTTTCTGTTTTCTCCTGTTTTTCTGTTTTCTTCTTCCACTACTACTGTTCTGATGACTCGGACTGGAGCATTTATTGTTAATAGGGCGCTTCTTTCTGAACCCTTCTGCATTGTTTCTTGCAGGATGCATATTGCCATTACTTTGTAAAGGCGTTTCACTACTAACCTCCTGGCGACTGTCGCTCCCATGCTGCTAGAACCAGAATATCAGTTATGGTTAATAATATTTATGTAAAAAAATGATAAACCACAAATGTAATTCGTATTTAGCTTCATTTGTTTACTAACATCTCTTTGGTTCTGTTTTCTCCTATTTTTCTGTTTTCTCCTTCTACTACTAATGTGCAGATGACACGGACAGGTGCGTTTATTGTTAATTGGGCGCTTCTTTCTGAACNNTGGTTCTGTTTTCTCTTGTTTTTCTGTTTTCTCCTTCTACTTCTAATGTGCAGATGACACGGACAGGTGCGTTTATTGTTAATTGGGCGCTTGTTTCTGAACCTTTCTGGATTCTTTCTTGCAGGATGCATATTGGCATTCCTTCCTAAAGGCGTTTCTCTACTAACCTCCTGGCGACTGTCGCTCCCATGTTGCTAGAACCAGAATTTCAGTTATGGTTAATAATATTTATGTAAAAAAATGATAAACTACAAATGTAATTCGTATTTAGCTTCATTTGTTTACTAACATCTCTTTGGTTGTGTTTTCTCTTGTTTTTCTGTTTTCTCCTTCTACTACTAATGTGCAGATGACACGAACAGGTGCGGACAGGTGCGTTTATTGTTAATTGGGTGCTTCTTTCTGAACCTTTCTGCATACTTTCTTGCGGGATGCATGTTGGCATTCCTTCCTAAAGGCGTTTCTCTACTAACCTCCTGGTGATTATCGCTCCCATGCTGCTAGAACCAGAATTTCAGTTATGGTTAATAATATTTATGTAAAAAAATGATAAACCACATATGTAATTTGTATTTAGCTTCATTTTTTTACTAACAACTCTTTGGTTCTGTTTTCTCCTTCCACGACTCTGACTGGAGCGTTTTACTTCAGCTCAAGAATTATAGTTATTTACTTGTAATTACCTTCAAATGTTTCCTATTGCCTTTTTTATTCCGTTTCCTCAATCGCGGCCTGTACTTTTGCACATTCCATGTAGCAATCTGCACATTACTCATAATTTTTGAAGGGGCTACCATACGATTCTGGTTACTATGACTGGCATATGTCTTAAATCAGAATTTAGTTATACTTGTAATAATTACGCATACATGATATTGCATTTAGTTTATACAGAACATCACCTCACACAAATTTTATTTACTTATTACCTTTAAATATTTTAAATATTTACGGTTTCTTTGTTTCCGTTTCTTCCTTCTGACAATAGGCGATTTAGTCACTTCGTCACTGCTTGAACTTTCATTATTTTGTGAACACATAGTGCGCCTTTTTCGTCGTCTTCTTACATACATTCTTACGATGTGCAAATCATCTGAACTGCCTTCGTACAGCTTGAATCAGAATTTAGTTAAAATTTGCGTTACTGATTTGTTATACTTCATTTGGTTCATAGAGAACATCATACATATAATTTTTATATACTATGTATGCCTATCTTGTTCAAGGTTATTTTACTTACAGGTTGGTTCTGTCTCCAGGTATTGAATGATGAAGGAATGGGATTTTGTCTACTTATGATTTTAAAGTTGTTCAATGTTTGCAATTGCAAAAGCACGTTTTCTTTTAGAGATTTATCGTTTACTGGATCGTCACTGAATACATTGTTCTCCAGAAAAGTACCAATCTTTTTGAAATCATAATAGGCTTCATGACTTACGTCCTAAATGAAAATATAATTACAAGCTTTCAACTTCGCTATATGTCTTTACTTCCTACATTTCTCAACTCTAGTGTTACGTATTTATCGGCCATTGATTAACTTTATGACATAACAAGCGCATTCACTTAAAGCAATGCTGAATCAGCATTCCTGCAGTTCACTAAGGATATTGCAGGACTTGCGCGTGCGCATTCATTCTTAGTCCCATTTCAAGGTTGTTCAAAGTCAAAGAGTTTACTGTTGGTATGAATGATTTTTTAAAAGTATCAATTTAGCAATATGATATCATTTTTGCTTACCTATCAATTAAAATCAGAATGTCATGATAGGAATGTCATGTAAATGATAGGAATTAAAGTGTATTTATTTTAAAAATAATTTGTTGAATTTTTTAAATATTTAATAAACGGGTCATTTTGACCCATAGTTAGTACTTATTTTTTTTTTACCTTAGAAGTTGCGGGTTATATAGCATTGAAAAAACAAATGGATTATTTGTAGTTTTTCATAGATATTTACAAATTTTCCATGTAAAATTAAAGAAGGTTTGAGTTAAGTTAGTATTATATTATTCTAATCAGCTGCTTTCACGGATCAATAATGCAACGTCTTGACGTACGTCTTTGTCGTAACATATTTGCTTTAAAAATGAATATGGATCAATACTTCTGTATTACCTGTTTCCATTCCTATTCTCCTGGTAGCAAGGATCGAAAATGCATAAGATTTGCAAAATCGCATGTGTCAGACAGAGAGATTGGGCGGGTCTTGCATCCTTGTCTAACCACATTCATAGTTACATCTACTAGTAACCAGTATAAGTTTAGATAACATAATTAATCAATAGAATGTGAAATTCCTTCTATTTTAGGGATTTCTATAAATAATAAAGAATCCTTCAAGGATAATAGCACAAGTAATTTTGTCACCATCCCAGAGGATTTATTTATAAATGAGCTACAAAAACGAGTATTACAAAGGAATTGATAAATCTGTATCAAAACAGTTAACTTCTATTTTATAGAATCTTTTAATTAATTATAGTTTTCTATCTCATTTTATCTATAAATGAGTTGCTGAAGCTAGGATTACAAAGGAATTGGTAAATTGATAGCATTTCCAACAGTATACTATAATAGTATAGAATCCTTTGATAAAATATAGTGATATTGCAGAATCCTTCAGGAATAATAGCACCATTGATTTTAAAGCTTTACAAGAGTCGGCACTAGTGAACCACTTTTTTACTACATATTTTTTTATTCCATTGAAATGTTACTTAGTTATGCGTAACTTATACTAGGAGAACAGAATATGAAAAAGATATTTGAGAATAATTTTAGATATTTCAGTTATTACTTCTACACTTCCTACTTTCCTGATTGACATATTTCAAAAACAGTGAATTTTGTCGACAACAATGGAAACAAAATTTTTACTTTGGTTCAAACTTCCTTTTGTCTATCATAATAGAAAGAATTATGAAAATATTCGTTAAATAATACAAAAATAGTTATAATATAATTTATTAAAACAAAAATAAAATTATGTAATAAATAAAACCATTCGATTTGATTTCATTATATAAATTATAGTTATTTACAGATACAGATATCTCACATAGTGCGGTTTCACTATTGTCCGAGTTTTGCTTTATACAGTTAAGTCCCTTTTAGTGTGGTTTATTTTTGTATGTGTTTGTATTCTTCATTCGCGCAGTTTCAAACAGTTTAGAATATATTATATTAAATTAATTTAATTAGAGTGGAAATATTTTTATTGTACTAAAGAAACATTAGTCCACATACACATACACTTAATTGTTTTTCTTTATATTAATAATGATGACAATGTGTATAATTTTAGATTTATCTTCATTAAAAATTATATTGTACTTTTGTTGAACTAAGCGATAATGTTACAGTTTGTTAGTTTTAGCACTGATAAATAAAATCTTAGCCTGTTGATGCATAAAGATAAGGAGCATTAAAAAATCAATATTTTTCCACTTTATACTTTAGCGCGCCGACGTAAGAACCCCTTTTACTTGTTGATTACATTGTAAGTAGAGGTGAGTCTTAAAGCTGCCGAAGGTTTTGTTTCACTAACAGTCTAAGAAAATCTCTAAGCTGTGCACGATGTCCAACCCTTCGCTAGAGTTGGAGGACCGAGACCCTAAATCGCTAAGTCAACATCTACAGGTTGAAAAATAACAGTAAGTCTTTCTAAATTAGTAACAAAGTAGTTTGTAGGTGTCCTGGGAGGATGTTATCGGAGAACCGGATACGACCCGAAGTCCAGAATGCGCTTGGAGGATTAGCAACCAGTGCTTCGTAGTGTCGAGGAATTGTTGTTACATCTTCATGTCTGTAATTATAGCCCCATGTGCAGCCCTGTGCCTCGGCTGTAGTTTCGCATGTCTAGCTTTCAAGGTAAACGCCACTCGACTATTCGATTTTTAAACTTTACAAGTATTCTTAAACTTTTCAAAGCATATCTGGTGTTGGAATCCGTGCCTGAGGGTGTGGAAGATCAATTGCTCCATGTTCAAGTTATACTTAACATCATGTTCCCAAGCAACAATAGTTCCACTGGCAGAAGCTATTGGTCATTGCTGTTCTTCCATAAAAGTGCGCACCCAGAGCCTTCCAATTGGAATTAAAGAAGACGTGATGATGGTCTGAATCCGCAACCCGCAACCCACAGGGTTCATGTTGAGCGCTCTTTGAAATCTTTGCAAATCCACTGCTCTCCTGTAATGTAGAAAAGCAATTAACGAGCAATAAAAAATTGGTCACGCATTATTTTCTTTCCCTGTTTTGATCGATTGGAAGATCGCGTGCTGTGTACTTATTTTAGGTCAACGTACGGTTGGCCGGCAAAGTGAAATGCTTGTCTGGTTGCGTCTTATGTAACGCCTCCCTCTCGAAAACACCAGCTGAGTTTACTCACACATGTGGGAATCATGGTGTACGATGATTGAATGAAATGACTAGTAATTGATTCCAAGCCCCACTGAAAGAGCGAGTCAGTACGTACGAAATCCGCGCATATTCGAACGGTAAGGCTGGTCACGATCAATACAATATTTCTACGTGTTAATAAAATTAAAATCTGCTTGGTAATTGCTTCGAGTTCGGAACTAATATGAGACTATTGGGGTCAAGCCAGAAGTTAACCTAACAATGCGAGCCTAATATATGCAAAGACCAGGAAAATTATCAGTAAAAAGATACAAATTATGTAATTTTTTTTTCTTTCTCTTTTATTTTTTTTTTCTTTGATCGCAACGCACGATCGTGACGCGGCTAAAAGGTCGAGGCGAGATTTAGATAACGGGCCTTAAGTACACGAAATTGTTTTGATACGACCTCAGTATTCTTTCGGTTTGATTACAGTCGAGATGGCATTGACAAAGTTATCCAGAGGCACGAGCTTAATCAAGCAGAACCAGAATGTCTTCCAACGGTTCTTTGCATCCGCCACCAACAAAGGTAAATAATGCAGGTTAATTACTGATTTTCCTTTAAACAATTGTTTTTTTTTTTGATTTTATAAATTAAGCCGTCTACAACTGGGAAGATCCGCTGAATCTGGAGTCGCAGCTAACGCAGGAGGAGAAAATAGTCAGAGATTCATTTAAGACCTATTGCGAGGAAAAGTTGATGCCGCGTGTCATTGACGCAAACAGAAATGAAGGTTTCACAATACCAATTGCGTAATTGGGAATTTGCTAATTGCAACATCTCTTCCAGTATTCGATAAGGAGATCATGAGCGAATTCGGAGAACTTGGTGTTTTGGGATGTACCATTAAAGGATACGAATGCGCTGGTGTTTCCAATGTAGCTTATGGTCTTATCACAAGGGAGGTGGAAAAGGTGGACAGCGGTTACCGTTCCGCCGTCAGCGTGCAATCGTCCTTGGTAATGGGCTCTATTGCAAAGTACGGAAACGAAGAACAGAAGCAAAAGTATTTACCGATCTTAGGTGAATCTTTATTTTTTTTATACCTCAGTTGGTTGTTATTTTTTTTATTTTTTAAGCTAAGGGCAACATCATCGGATGTTTCGGTTTGACTGAACCAAATCACGGCAGTGATCCCGGCTCCATGGAGACGCGTGCCACCTACAACCCAAGCTCCAAAACTTATACCCTCAACGGCAGCAAGACTTGGTAATGCTACAAGCGTCACGTGTACGTTGAGTTGTTAACGATTAGTTGAAACAGGATTACTAACGCTCCAGTTTCTGATATCTGCGTGGTATGGGCCAAATTGGAAGGCAAAATCCGCGGATTCATCATCGACAAGCGCGAGAATCCCAAGGGTTTGGATACTCCGAAAATCCAGGGTAAATTCTCACTGAGGGCTTCTGCTACCGGTATGATCTTAATGGACAACGTGGAAATCCCAGAGGCTAACCTGTTACCAAACGGTATCGGTCTTGCCGGACCTTTTGGATGTTTAAACAACGCCCGTTACGGTATCGCTTGGGGAGCTCTTGGAGCTGCTGAATCCTGCATGAAGGTGGCCAGACAGTATGTCATAGAAAGGCAACAATTCCAAAAGCCTTTAGCCGCAAACCAACTGGTCCAGAAGAAACTAGCAGATATGTCCACAGACATTGCTCTAGGTCTTCAAGCTTGTCTTCAAGTCGGTCGTTTGATGGATAAAAATGAGTATGTTTTACAATATGTTTTTTGTATTGCATCGTTTAATTTGATCATTTGATTAGGCACGCACCGGAAATGATCTCGATGATCAAGAGGAACAACGCCGGAAAGGCTTTGGAAATCGCACGCGTCGCCAGGGATATGCTCGGCGGTAACGGTATCCACGATGAGTACCATATCATTAGGCATATGATGAACCTGGAGAGTGTCAACACCTATGAAGGCACCCACGACATCCATGCTTTGATCTTGGGTAGAGCCATCACCGGTCTGCAGGCCTTTAAATAAATTCCATTGTATAACTGTTTCTATATGTAAATAAATCTATTTTTATTGTTATTATTTTCAATAGTACAATTCACGGACATGAGTTTTGCATTCTGCTTATCATTCAATTACATAGCATTGATAAGAATTCTTACGACATACATAAATAACCAATTTCTGCTACGTAATTGCATAACGTTATTCTGGTTGCCTATATATAGTGATTTATGATCACATCAAAAACAATAATAAAAATGTATTATCTCATATTAATTATATAACGATAATAAGATTTATTGCTGCAGTTATATTACACATACAATTATATTACTAGCAAATGAATTATTGCAATTGTCAATTAATATAAATATGCATTATTTATTCATTTTATAACGATTGTTACATTAAACTTATACTAATTTGTTTTACTTACGTAACTATCTTTGAATATATTAATTAATTTGATAATTGCTTAATTTTAGAACTATCTGACAATATATTAAAAAAATGATTTCAAATCTAACCGAAAACAAGTTATAAAAACGTATTCAAAACTATAATTGAATGAACAATAAATATTTAAACGTTCTTTCAATAAACATAAACGGGTCATTATGTCATTGCAGGTCAAATATGTTAACGTTATTTAGTAATTCAAAATATTCCGTTTGATTTATTATAAAGCTATTTTTCAATTAATACAACAATTCTCAAATTGAGAGCAATATTTTTTCTCCAGATGACATTACTTACTCCTACCTATGGATAATTGACGGCAAATCTCCAAAAACTAAACTTTCACCAATGATTCCTCTCTTTCATTTTTTTTTTGCACCACACATTGTTTCACCTTAATTCCATTATAATAATTTGATTCTCTAGATATAATAATAATGTTTATTGTTAAAAAGTAAAAAGTACACATAAAATAAAATAAAAAGAAACAAAAATAATAATTTAAAAATATATATTATATGAAATTATATACATTACAATATTATCTACAGTAGTTCTTATCGTTTTTTTTTCAAAGTATATTATGTAATATTGTATACTATTTTTAGAAAGTTAATCATTTAAAATGTACGAGAATGTGAAAATAATGTTTAAAAACTGTACATACAAAATCCATTATATTTTTTGCATAGTGCACAAGGATAAAGTAAATAATGTTTTTTTTATTCCTTCGGATATATTTTTTATTCAACGTTCAATTCAATGTATCGTTTAAAGTGTAAATTTTATATTTTTTTAAATTAATTTACAAACAAATTATATCAAAAATTAAATAAATGATGATTCAAAATTTTTGAACTAAATTATTTTTTATACAAAATGATCATTTTTCTCAATGTACATAGTTAAGTCTTTTTTTGTGTTTTCTAAAGTCTTCAATTAGTCCGATTTCAAACATTAACAAAACCTATTACCCGTACTAAGCGAGGTATTGCTGTATTTGTTTGGATATAATGAAAATGTATATACACTACAATATTAATAACATCTATACTTTTCGCTTTTTTCACTGAAATGTTAATAATGTAAAAGGTGCGACGTTAAAATAAAATATAATATATCATACTTTTTATTGTTTATTTGTGTAATTATATCTATATTACATAGAACATTCAAATGATAATAGTTTTTTCTGGTAAGGATGACCGTAATTACTGAAAATAAAAAGGAACTGTAGAAGTGAGAACAATAACAACAACAGCGGATGCATAAGTGAAATGCATAATGAGCAGTGGAAATGTCCTATTTACCTAGATTACAGTGATTTGCGAGAAGAGTTCTGCGAGGAGAACGAGACATGCTGTGCAGAAAGTGCAATGTGAAAGTCGGAAATTGCAAGTGCGGGCAAAACAACAAAATCGAATTGCGTGAAAGAAATGGAGAAGACGCGCGCGCCTTGAGGAAAAATCAATGCGTTGAAGAAGGACGACATCTGCAAGAGGGATGTAGAAAGTTCGGAAGGCGCAGGCGTTGCGCGTTATTTTTATTCAATACGGATCCCCTACGTGCCGGTTTTTGTAATCAGTTGTGGAACTGTAAGTCATACACATAGTTCTATACAAAAAATACTTTTAGTAGACAATATTCTCTAAGAATTGCTTGAGATGAGTGCAATGGAAGGTTTGGGCGTCTTCTGCATGGCTGTAGTGGGATTGCAGTTGGCTAGGTTCATCCACAGATTCTTCAACTTAGCCTTATCCCCGAAACTTGGCTTGGGATCTGTAAAGCTAAACTCTATGGGAAAATGGGCCGGTAAGTAGTAAAAGCAAACACTTATCTCTTATCGCTCAGTTGTTTGATAACAGTAAAGTTAATTGTAACGGAGCTACGAAAATGCTTACCTCGATGATTGTACTATATTTTATTTGGCTAGTCAGCATAAGAGGAAACGACATGAATACTAATGCTTAGTAATTTGAAATTTAAATTATTTTTTCAGTTGTTACCGGCGCTACCGATGGTTTGGGAAAAGCCTATGCAGAGGCTTTGGCCAAGAAAGGAATGGCTGTCGTCTTGATCAGCAGAACTCAAGAAAAATTGGACAAAGTCGCTAAAGATATTTGTAAGTTTCCGAAATTCAATAAAATTATTTACATTACCAATGTTATTTCCAGCTGATAAATACAATGTGGAGACAAAAACGATTGCAGTAGATTTCACACGAGGCCAGGAAATATATCACGTCATAGAAAAACAGTTGCAGGGGTTGGAAATAGGGGTGTTGATCAATAACGTTGGCATGAGCTACCCTAATCCCGAATACTTCCTCACCCCCGCCGATGCCACCCTTTACGCGGACATTATAAGTTGCAACATACATTCTGTTATTAATATGTGTAAGCTCGTCATGCCGGATATGGCGGAGCGGAAGAAAGGGGTTGTGATTAATGTATCCTCTTTATCTGCGCAAATTCCCAGTCCTCTATTAACGATTTACGGAGCGTCAAAGGCTTTCGTCGATAAATTCTCCATAGATTTGGGAGCGGAATACGCCGAGCATGGGATTATTGTGCAAAGCATTCTCCCAGGATACGTCGCTTCCAAGATGTCTAAAATCAGGAAGTCGAGTTGGATGGCCCCGTCTCCGACCACATACGTAAATGAAGCTCTGAAAACCGTCGGAGTGCAAGACAGGACAAACGGTTATCTAATGCACACTGTACTGCTTTCGGTAGTTCAAAGTTTTGATTATATTTCGCCTTCAATCAGCAAGTGGATTGTAATGAGGGTCATGGGTAAAATCAGGCGTCGGGCGCTCAAACGCCAACACGAGAAATAATTTTAAGGTCTATTTAATAAATGTACTCTGTTGAGTTTTATTGCCATCATTTCATTCACCAACAATTATAAAACTTTCTAGATAACCTAGCAGATCCTTGAAGTAATCCCTATAGATTCTTCCTGGTGTTACGTCTCCTTTTCATTCCTCCAGCTTGCCTTAGCAAGTGCATATTTTCCTCATCCAATTCCAACGGCGGATCCCAAAGCTTCAACCTCCTTGGTAAATAGATTAATCCACCCAAAGTGACAGCTGTAGAATATTCATATAAATAAATATACATTAATATAATTACGGTTTATTACTAAAATCCGTGCAGGCTTGACTCGTTGCCAGGTCGTAATAAAGTTGTTTTTTTTTTATTAAGTGCGGAAACGAGAGGAAATGTGGAGGTGCACTTTGTTAATTTAAAGTGGATCTTACCGTTCAAGATACCCGGAAAGACTACGTAGAAGCTAAGAACGGCCGCGCGAAAGTACAAAGTCTCGGTTAAGTACAGAAAGACCGTCACCAGCAAGGAACAGATACCCATACTAACAATCCTTGAATCGAAACGGATCAGTGTTTATTGATCGGGCCAATAGGCTATCAATTAATCAAACTTACGGTTTGTAGTGAATATAGAGCGTGCAGTGGATCAGCGCCAAAGCCTTCAGGATCGAGAATATACCCAAAATCCTCGAAGTAGTGTAATCCTCTATAAATTAAAAAAAAACTTATTATTGTGATGTTATTAAAAGTATTATTATTTACCATCGTTATACTCGATATCGGAGGGTGATGTAGTCAAGAAAGATCTCTTCTCTATGTAACTCCTCACTGCAGTACCCAAATCCATAAATGCGACAAACGCAATCCATCCACGGAACGCGTACATCATCTTCCTCTCCGTCATCTTCAACTGTTTTGTCTTCAACCTTTTGGGAACGTTTAAACGCGGGGTTCGCAAAAGGCACTGGTCATCATCAAATCAATGAAACGTGGGGTCGCGTGCAATGTAGATAGTCGATTTTCTTATGCATAATTGGTTTATCCGTTTATGGTTTCGACGGTGTTATATGCACGGGGTTGAAAACGAATGGGGGTTGAAGCTCTCGCCCCAAATGCAGTCCCCGCAGTGGGAGCTTTTGCCGCAAAGCGGAATTTGTTTTGTCGGGAACACGCAGTTGCTGCACTGTCGCTAAAGCTCGACAACTGTCGGTTTCGGAGAGGAAACGCAAGCTGGCGCTTTCGTCTGCATTCCAAGAATGAATAACTATTTTTACTTCAATCGTACGAAAATAGCAAATCCTAGATACATAAATATACGATGACTTTGATTCTGTTTATATCGCATGCGGAATATCATCATCATGATGATCATCATTGTAGGATTGACTGACAAGGCAATATCCATTCAAATAATAAACAATGGAGACGTTGTTAATTATAGCACTTGACCGTTTCAATTAAACTTTATTGCAATTTGCTAATATCACATATTTACTAATAAAGATAATGTTCAATTCATTTTTGTTTTTGTTTTGTCAAATAAAGGCTGCACACTTTACTATGGTCGTCATATAATCAATACGAATTCCAAACAGTTTTTTTAAATTAAATTTTCCAAAGTCCATTTATTCTATATCATTAGAAATACACATTTCGAATTTATATTTATAAGAAAAAATCAATTTTAATTACATAAACAAATTGTTGTTAATAGACAAAATATGTGTAAATTGTGCATGTAATTAATGTAAACAATTAATATATAATAAATTTCCTTAAATTTGTCTAGTAATAGTTTAATTAACTAATTTGTACAAAAAATAGCACTATTTCAATTATGTAAATTTGTACATTATTGAAATAATACACAAGATATTATTCAAAATTTTAAGTTTCATTTAATAGATATTATTATATTTATTTTAAGTAATGTTTTCTATTGATTTTTTTTAATTCTCTATTAAATATTAACATTCAATAGAGTAGTTTAAAAAAAATAAAATTGAAATAATAGAAAATCGAACAGCTTACTTAAGCTTGAATAGTTATTTCTCAAAAATTTGAATACAATAGTCGTAAAGTAAAAATAACTGCATTTTATTGTTAATTGTTTAATGAAATAATGAATATTAATATTAATTTAAACTTTTAAACTGTAAATATTTTTAGTAACAAGAAAAAATATGGTGACGATAGTATTTCTGTCATATTTTGTGTCCTAGTTAACTAAGGTATTATTGATTTTAGGGAACAAATAATGACTGTTAATTAGTGCACAAGAAGTTGCATACTAGAAGAATTGTAAAAATAAAATGTTCATCTTTTATTTTAATTTGTTTATGTAATTTATGATAACTAATATATATAAAACCAATATATATTTTTGGTAAAGATACAGAAACATATTAGAGTGCAAACATTATGTATATTAAGTTGCCTATAATAAGTTCATTCTTTATATAATTTGAAACAATTTTGCTTTATATTAAAAAAGCTGCATAATTTCTTCCTATTAGATTTTTTTTTTCTAATTACAAAAGCTATCTATACTTTTAATATAAACCTTTTAGTAAATAACGAACACAATTTTATTCTTTTATTCGTGTCGTCTTGTGTTTAAAAGAAAAATCTTGTCGTGTATTCACGTTTTATCTAATTACAAATTTGCTAATTGAAGACAAAAATATTTACTGTTCTAATGCAATATGCTATTTAAAGCTGTGTAATTTTCAGGGACAATTGTTTTTAAGAATATTTTGATATAATCGATTATAAAATAGACATATGTCTAATGGACAAAAACAATACTAAATGACAAATTAACAAAGTATGTTAGTGTTCAATTTTGGAAATTTACTTATGTAATAAGTTTAAAATATAGGCTGAAATAAATAAAACGCAGTTAGTAGCTGGTTAAGTTGTGCAAGAACATTTATTTATTTTTCATTACAAACTGTCTAAAATTACTAGCATAACCTGAACAATGTTACGCAGTGAATTATTTAGTGTAAAATATTTATAAACTACACAAAAAAAAGATACGAACGTGTTTAAATATAGATTATAAATTATGATTATTTTCTAAATCTAAATTGTATATAATGATTCTAATTATAGAAAAAAAATCAACAATAATTACCAAAAAAAAAATTTTAGTAAAAAGTGTTAGTAATAGTTATCATTATTGTCTACACGCTACCGTTATAAGATCGGTCAAAAGCTTGGTTGGCTTAAAATTAATGTGTCATTAGTATTAGTATGGTACTAGTAGGTACGACTGCGCTAAAGATAATTGAAACATCATTGAACTATTATCAAATGTTGTTAATAAACATTAGTACTATAGTATCTACAGACCGAACAATGTTTCTAATTGTATTAGGCGCAACCGAAATCTATAAAACAAAGAAAAAAACATATCCATTTGCCGTGACTTACAATTAAATGTTATAAATATAGTACAGGGAAACTATAGTTAATGAGAGTACCAGAAACAAAATACTTGTATCTGCCACATCGCGGCGGGGCCTTTAACCTCTTCGTTAAAATTAATAGTAATCAGCGGAATAAACATAATAAAAATGGTTATATAATCGAACGTACAAAGCTTACGTATAATAAAGTCTATTAATATCTGTTTAAATTATCGGTGGGTTTGCTTAAATTAAAAACAAAAGACGTAGCTATTCGTATTAAATTTTTTAACTTATAATTTTGCTGCTTGGCCTTGGGCCTCCGCTAACATTTTGGCACGGACTGTTGGAACGTCGTCCTCAATTCTCACCAATAAACGGATTTTCTGTTTGGAATTCAAAACAAATTGATGGTATTATTTGGTTTATTAATATTAAGTTTGGACTTACCGTTGCTCTATCTCCAGGGGTGACGTTCCAGATGTAGATCATGTATCCAGGAATGCAGAGCATAGAACTCAAAGCCGTGAACCATCCAAAGAGGTGAGCCCACAGTGGAAATTCGTAGTTCAGATATTTAACCGGCGTCCATTGAATGATATTGAAGATGAATACACCCTGAAAAAGTAAAAGTAGAGAACACGCCTTTTTTCTTATTTTGGATACTAACGATGCAAATGACCGGAGTTGTTATGGTCCAGCAGAACTTCCACCACTTCATCGGATAGTAGCCAATCATTTCCTTTATTCCGTCGTAGAACCGGTTCACACCGAAAGCCCAAGAAATGGCGATGCATTCGAAGAAGATCAAGAACAGCAAGCAGAATCCACTCACGGCGTAAGAATCCAAAATTTGGAAGACGTACATTCCACCCTGTCGTATCAAATTAAATTAGTGATTAATCGCAGTGGTTAGATTTAAGTATTTACATTAGTGATGCAGGATAATCCGACGAGGTATGAGATGGCGCAGACGATGGCGATGAAGATTTCTTTCCTGCGACGCAAGAGATGAGGCCACTCGTCGATGATAGCTGTTACGAAACCTTCCATGGTGCAGAATTGCGAGTCGAGACCTATCAAGAGTATCATGAAGAAGAAGAGACAAGACCACATTGGTGATCCTGGGAGTTGAAGTACAGCCGACGGATACGCGAGGAAAGCCAATCCAGGTCCTGAAATCATCCAACATTTATATAGAATCTGTATTTCTGTAATGATATCTGATTTTTTTACCGGAAGCTGCCACTTCGGCAACTGGTTTCTGTTGTTCGTGGGCCATGAATCCGACGACTGAGAAGATTACAAAACCGGCAAACATACTGGTACTTGAGTTCACGGTACACACGATCAACGCATCCCTTTTAAACAAAACAAAAATATGTATCAAATCATAGTTAAATAAACGAATTTAGGATTTACTTGTAAACGTTGTTTGTGAATTTATTGTAACTTCCTAGAGCGACCAAAGTTCCTAAACCTAATCCGTAAGAGAAGAAGATCTGTGTGACGGCGTCGATCCAAACCTCTGATTCTCTGAGCTTCGACATGTTCGGCATTATATAAAATTTAATTCCTTCCATTGCTCCAGGTAAAGTAACACCACGAATTAGCAGCACGGTCAGCAAGACGTAAGGGAAAAGGGCTGTAAAGTAAACGACTTTCCCGGTCCACTTGACGCCCTTCCAGATGCAGAAGTAGCAGATGATCCAAACCAGTAACAGAGTTCCGGCCAATTCCCAACGGATGCCTCCGATATGCTCAATGCCGTCGGAGATCATCAAAGCCCTTCGTCTGAGTGCAAATCAAGTTAGTACAACAAAAATATACAATATTTGGTATAAGCTTACTCCCAGAACTCCTTCACTGGATCGGTCAGTTCAGAAAGGGATACGTTCATGGAGTTTACGGCGCAGATTTTGCTGAATGTATTGTTGACGTTGTACTGTTCCCAGCAGTTAAGAGATCCACGATCGTAAGGATTTACGCAAAGTTTCGTGTTCCAAACGTTGTGGCATGTGCGCCAAGGAACATCTAAAGATAAATTATGTAATAATTTGTTTATTCTATAGCGTTTTTCTGATTTACCGGCACGCAGAGACATGAAGAAGTAAAATATGGCCCAGGCTAAGATAACAATATAGTAGATGTTCATCCAACAGGACATTACAGCCGCCGCGTAACCGATTCCTGGAATAACAGAAATAATAGTTGTGATGATTACGTTAGATTTTTTTTGTTGCGAGGGAGAATACCTTTGAAAATCGGTGCGATTTTGAAAACACCCAAACCTCCGATTGTCATCATCTGTCCAAGCGCAAGCTCCAGGAAGAACATAGGTATTCCCGCGAGGAAGAGCGTGATGAAGTAAGGTACCAGGAAGGCACCGCCGCCATTCTTGTAGCAGAGATATGGGAACCTCCAGACGTTTCCCAGGCCTATAGCCAAACCGACGACGGATAAAATAAAGTCTAATTTGCTTCCCCAGGTGCCTCTCTCGGGGACAGCACCTTTCGATGGTACTTCGTGCGCCGCATTTACACTACTTAACATGGGCAGTTCAATGGATTCCTCGCCGTGCCTATTCATATGGACGTTCTCACAGTCTTGAGCTTCTTCTTTTCTATCCGCCATCTCGTTAAGATTTGAAAAAAATGTCCACTATACCCCAGCCTTGAACGGCGTCAGCTCATCACCAAACGATAAATACTAGCTGAAACAAAGAAATCGGTGAGTTGGAAAAAAGGGGATGCACAGACAGGATGGTAGCAATGTTTAACAACTAGATCTTTCCTCTAACCAGGACACAGTTCAGTCACAGTACTGCAATTATATCCGAACTGAAAGCCATCTAAGGATACGCTGCGTTTATCGCGCTCCAGTTCCACCAGGAGACATCCTGCAAACTCCCTTCCTCTCGCGCTTCAATCAAAATTCAAAGGAAAAAAATAGTTCGTAAATGCTACGTGGGCGCATTATAATATATAATATGTATAGATCTGGGACACCAATATTACATAACTGGATACTTCCGCTAGTGCCACTGTACTACTAAATACAGACCCTCTCTGTCTCTATTAAATCCTGTCGCCAAATTAATTATGGTATCGTAGGGAGATCATAGTCAAATTAGTAAGGGGGGCCACGATTTTTAAACCAGACAACCGACAACATAGTGATTAATTTAAAAAACGTCCATCCTGTTTATGATTTTGACTTGTACATGCATTAATTTTAGCTATTACTAATATTTCCAAAATATTTGATGTGTTATTTATTTTTGGAGATAGCTTAGATCTAGTAAAATATCCGATTTTGGTGGTTTGTTAATCCATATTTACCGGCAATAATCCACGCGGTTAGGGCAAATACACTGGCACCCCAAAAGCACAGAACACTTCACCACCAAGAAATATAAAAATACGGCACTAAGCACTGGCGATGTTGATGATGTTGATAGTCGGCGAACCACTGGCTGTTTGCACGGCGTGGACCTGCTCTCGTCTTCTTCAGGCCAGCCACGGAGCAATCATTTCATCATTTATACTCCAATCGCACATGGTTATAGCGATGAATCCTGGTGGTGGGGGTCACAGCCACCGAACAATTTCATGTAGTATTTTTCAGTGGCTATGCTAAAATTATTACCCAATTTACATAATGGACTGTGCCATAGACATAGGGGGTATTATCCCGACACCACCGAATTGTCCCAGAAACTGGACCGACACACCAATTCCCAATTTCCGCATCAACATCAACCATCCACTTCCCATCACGGCTCTGTTACATTGCAGTTTCTTCTATATGCATTACATAGCTTATATCTTTAGACCTACTGCATTTTGTTTAATAAGAATTTTATCCTCAGATCTTTTAAGAAATAAAATTTGCACAAATCAACGTAGTGTAACATTAAATAATTGCATTACGTAATTAATACCAATTACCAAATTATATTTCACTGTAATATTATTATTATTAATAAACTATTCAATATCTTTAATTTATAGAATATTGAATAGCTCTGAGTTGAATTATGTTTTCAATTACTGCAATATTCATCATTTATTAAGCAACATATTTGTAAATAATATAGGTATTATATTAAAGCTGCAATATTTGTATAAAAAAAACTATTTTCTTTAGAACCATAATCTAGATATGCTTGAATTTTATATTAAATTCTAATTATTACTTAATTCCATTTTAATAAACGAAAATTCAGTCAGAATGAAACTTTACATCTATAAATTGTAAAATTGTAGCTTTTTTTCTTTCTAGAAGTAAATAGTCTACTTTTAAAAATAATGAAATTTATTTACAAAAGATATTGAATAAACTTTCATTTTTGTAATAATTTATGTACTATATTAGAGATAAGATCTATATTTTTAGTATTGTATAGTAGATACTAAAGTCGAGTAAAATATATTATATAACATTATTGATAAATGTAAAATTCATGTTTGAACATTTCCTTATTCTTATGCTTGTATTTAAAAAGTTAAGAGTTAAATTTTAAGTTTGTATATTAAAATTTGTAACTGCTTTTCGTTTCATCTTTTTTTCTTCTGGAGAAGTAGAAACCTTCAAAAGGAACCACGACTGAAATGAAACCACGTTCATCAACTTTCATCCATGTTGGTTAATTTATGTATTTGTATTCCAATTTGTTTGTTATTAAATATTACCAAAAGTAATGACTGAAAAAGTCATTTTCTATTTCTTCCTTCCAGTATAAAACATCATTCTAAAAGAATACATTAATACATAGCATAGTGCTATTTCGATCAACTTGGATTCACTATAGTTTGGTTTAAAATTTTCAAAATAAATTGAATTTTAATTAAGCAAAATAAAAAAATACACATTTTTTTAAATAAATAAATCATGTACACAATCAAGTTTTTTTTTTGTTTGGTTTATTTTATTATGTATTTTAATCCGATTCGATTAGTGTGGTTTCAAACAGTCCGCTATATTGTCAAACACGGAATGTGCAAAATATGTCTGTATTTCATTTTAAAAAATCATTTTTATTTGTCACCTCTTTTTCTTTTTGTACTTTACAATTGAATAAAGTGAATGAACCAATATATACTATTTTATACAACTATTAGATTTAATTGTTTATTTTTATGTATTTAGCTACTCAATTAGTCCGGTTTCAAACAGTACCTCAATATGCGAAATATTGCTGTTTTTCATTTCGAAAAATCACGTTTCCTTTGTCTTGGTCTTTACAATTGAATAAAGTTGATGAATCAAAGTAGTATATTTTTATGTATGATTAAACAAACTACCTACCTATCCCCCGATTTACACGAGAAAAAAGTTTAAATCGAAATTGTAACTTTTTGAATGTAAAATCGTGTTAATCGAAAAGTGCATATAAAAACAATGTGAATTTTATTCATAGTCAGTTTATTTTCAACATTTATTTTTTAATTTTAACCGTGAGAAGCAAAAACATTTAAAAAAATGTATCGTGTCAAATGAGGATTAAGTTATTTTCAAACGTTTAAAAAAGTATTCTATTAATGATTGAAAAAATAAACAAGATTTCATTTTTTTCTTTTTTTAATTAATTGCGTTTAAGTTTGTAGAAGTGAACCTTATTAAAAAGCTGGTTATAATTTATATATTATATTCGTTATTCAACATGTTTTTGTACTTCGTTTTGCATAATGTTAGGTAATGTCAAAGAAGCTTATGTCGTTTCGAAAAATCACAGTTTTCTTTGTTTTTTTTTCTATTGTTTTTCTTTTTAGACTACATAATTTATAAAATTGATTAATCAGTACGTAATATTTAATTGAATATATTAAAAAATATATTGTTAAATTTATTTAATTTTGAAAGATTTTGTGAATTTCTATTAATATTTTCTTATTTGTTGCTAAAAATATAGACGAATTATAAGTTTGTAGAATTGAACACGTTATTGAAGTTTGTTATAGTTTATATACGTGTTTTGTTGCGTAATCTTAAGTATGAGGAAGAGTTATTGTTAGCCGAGAATCGCAATACGGTAGCAATCGTTTCGCCGTGCGTCCGAACGACTAACAATATAACTATACGATTATTATTCAATTATAGCCACTTTAGTGAGATAATGCAATATTCCCAATTGGAGTATATTAATATGCAGCTGCCGGGAGATTACGACATTGCAGGATAGTTCTTGTTGGCGTTTACGAATAAATTGATGCATGTGTATGGATGTATGAATTTTATTTTTATTATTATTTATATGTGTTTTATGTATGTATTTTGGCTTTGCATGCTTTTAGGATCGAGATGATACGCATACACGGTATTGTTCCGTAGCATTACGGCTCGCGAGTAATGTAATCCCCACGAAGTATCGTCATAGTGAATTAGTTAGATTTCCGGTCATGTGACATGTATCCTGCCATTGGTACTTCCTTTCCCGCCGCCCTCAGAGGATGTCCCTAACCGGGAAATGATTTCTCTAGCGCGACTCCATGTCATATATTTAAATATCGCAACTCGCATTCTAATTGCTTGACACTGACTTATGTCCAACAAAAACTAGACCGCTTTGTTCCCGCGACCCAGGTTCCAGGACTCTCTTCCACAACCAGATCCTTAATATCAGTATAGAATTCAATATTTCTCTACACTACATAAAACAATCTAAATTATCAAGAATTTTTTTAAAATAATATTTAATATGAACAAAGAAACATAAAAATCCAATATTCCAAAATCATAATTTAATTAATAAATAATATTATAGAAATAATAAGGTATTTTTCAATTTAAAGAAAGGAAATCTATTATTACGAAACATTTCAGAATCATCTGAAATAGTTGAGTGGAATACAAATCTCTCTTACTGTTGTTTCGATAATAGTAATAATTTACTTAGTTAACTAAAAATATTATAGATCTTTCAATTTGTAAATAAAGTAAATCTATTATGAACAGGACATACAAATTTACCGGTATTTTTTTTAATTGAAAATTTTGTGTGCAAAATCTATTAATTGTTTAGAAAAATTTAATAAATTAAGTAAAAAAAACATGTACAATTTTTCTTAGTAAACAAGTAAAATTAATTGAAAGATATAATTAATAATAACAAATACAAAATAAGTTTATTGCATTGAGTATTTAGTGAGAATTAAAATGTGGACACAGTAGTCAAATAATAAATTGAACGAGTTTTACTTGTTAATAAACAACAAAATATTCGATACGACTTGATTCTTCAATGTTGTTCCTAAAACTAAATTACAAATTACTTATTCTACTTATATAATTAACTAAACAAGGGGATGGGAGTTTGAGGAGTAAGTTTTAAGAAGACGCTCCGCTTCAGGTCACAGTTCTCCATGGGATCTGTCTATTCTGCATATTGGTTCTTATAGCTCATTGTCCTCAGTGGTACCCAAACTTAATGGTTGGACACAACAGCCAATTGCATAGGTATCTATGTTGATATTATATTAATTCCATGTTCTGAAAATGAAATGTTAATATTTAAATCAGTAAGACTTTTTTCTAATAGACTTTTCTAGTTCCATTTCCTGCTTTCATCTAAAAATATAAAATATATTTTTCCTAAATTCATTTTTGAAGAACTTTATTTTTTTCTGTACCGATGAAAGAATATTCCGAACGTTGGATTTTATTTATAATAATACATCTTCATGTGCAGAAATTACAGGTATTTCTAATAAAAATTACCGATAATTTTGGTAAAACCGGTAAACCAGTAATCATGTAATTTTTTCAGCAAAATCTGAAATTGTCGACTTAAACTTAAAGCTCTTTTAACATTTTTTCTACAATACTATACTATTGTTAATATTAATTATTATTACTTCATATTTTAGAGAATTGTGAATAAAAGTCACAAACTCATGATTATTAATGAAGTTTATCATCAAATTTAGAAATTATACAATATAAACGCATTGCAAGTGAATTGAAATATTCAAATATATAGAAGAGGAAACATTGAGTTTATATTTAATAATAAAATAAAAAATGAACTGTTACATTGGAAATCAGTTACAAAGATGTAATAATAATAATTTGAAATGTTTTAAAAAATATTGTTGAAAAATGGTTATTTTTATTTTTTCTTATTGTTGCAATAAATATTATTATTTTCAATATTAATATAATTAAATAACTTTAAGTGAGAAGTACTGAAAAGTATAATTTAATTTATATTATTTATGTGTAGTTATTAAGTAAATTGAATAAGGGTGTATTATTTGTTTTTCTCTGAGATTAGATTAGATCATAAGTCTGAAGTGGTTGGAATCTGGTCATCGTTTTGCCTTCAACAATTAGCTGGAATTTGATGAGCATGCGGCAGCTTAATTGGCGCGATTTTATTGTAACGTGGGATTTATTTTTCCACGCTAAGCATCGCGGCTCTGGTCTCCTCTGGCTCGGATGGTGATTAACATGCGACCACAATTTTTATTATCATTTGAATGGATAATTGACTTTTTAACGTAACTTAAACGACATTAAAAATG